GGTGCTTGAGATCTCAACTTAGGTACACATGCTTGTCAGAAAGAATTTTTAACAACTGAGTTATTTCTCTGGTCTTTCCTTGTCCTTCTTTTATGTTAAAATTCAGTTTTAATTTAAGGTTTCATTTATAGCAATCATATTCTGTACCCAATAATATTCATAAGAAAGGGGTTCTAATTCAGTAGTGAGGAAAAACAACGAACTATAGAAACAAAATTTCCTTTAAGTAAATGATTAGATACAAGGGCTACATATGAAATTCCTAATGAAATACATATTTGTTATTAGTTCATATTTTGTGAAAACTAAAAGAGTCGGTCAGGTGTTGCAAAGGTCAACTTCCGATGCACATTTGACTTTCAGTAGAAGAGAAGGGGACTGAGAGCAACTATGGGAACACTGACGATCCGTTTCATTTAGTTCACTGTTGGCTGGCATTCTTGCTTTCTCATCTGCTCTCTGAAGACCGGAAGGTACATATCTACTTATCTATCATTTTATCAGGCCTGCCCATCCTCTCATTATGGATGGAGGCTTGTCAACAAGCTCGCATTTGTGGTTTTAAGCTGTGAAGAACAGAGCCTAGTCCCCCATTTTCATAACAGTGTTTTGCCTTTTTCACAGTGCAATTTCTTCTTTGCTTCCCCGTTTTCACCTGCATTTCGGACTTTGTGTGTATTACGAGCACAGTGGGATCATGGGTATTAGCCTTGTCTTGTGGGGAAGACAGCAAGGCTTTTGCTCACTTTTGCTCCACTTGACTGTCGGAATTTATCCTTTTTAGTGAGCTTGCTAAGTAATACGATTGCCTTTTTTTTTTAGTTTTTTCGAGATAGGGTTTCTCTGTGTCGTTTTGGTGCCTGTCCTTGGTCTCACTCTGTAGACCAGGCTGGCCTTAAACTCACAGAGATCCACCTGGCTCTGCCTCCTGAGTGCTGGGATTAAAGGCGTGTGCCACCACCGCCTGGCATTAATAGGATTCTTTACAAAGTTTGTATACACAATCCATTTTTTTCTGAGCCCTTGCCCCCACATCTCTACTCCTTCCTCCTCTTTCCCTTTCTTTTTTTTTTTTTTTTTTTTTTTTTTCCAACACAGGGTTTCTCTGTGTAGTTTTGGTGCCTGTCCTGGAACTCTTGTAGACCAGGCTGGTCTCGAACTCACAGAGATCTGCCTGCCTCTGCCTCCCGAATGTTGGGATCAAAGGCGTGGGCCACCACCGCTCAGCCCTCCTCTTTATTTTCTTGCTCTCAGCATTCCTCCTTCGACTTTAGAACTCCTAAGGCCCATCCCCAGCCCGCTTCTACTAGAACCTTTGACCCTTCAGAGACACTTTCTAGGTTACCTCATTTACTGTTTCCAGTTCCATCCATTTCCCTGCAAATTTCATAATTTAACTCTTCTCAATAAATTAAAATTTTATAACATATACATTTATCTTAATAAGTAGCTCAAATTCCTTTCCATATCTTATGTTCATTCTCCATTTATCAGTTGGTGGACATCTAGCATCATTTCATTTCCTTTCTACAGTGAAGAGTAGCAATAAAAACTGTTAAGAATCTCTGAAGTAGGATGTGGCATACTTTGGGAATGTGCTCAAGTATGGTCATCACTATTTATTTTAGTCTACTCACAATGAATAGGATAAACTGGTGTGCCATCTGACTTCAGGTTCCATTTCTCTGAACTTAACGGGAACTTTTCATATCCTTTTGGCCATTTGGATATTTGGCTGTTCTTGTACTCTGAACACTTGTCAATTTTATAATTATTTCCTACATAATACCCACATCCTAAAGGACAGCAAAACTTTAACATCAGGTTATTGTGTTTTGATTTTATTAGCTTTAATATTTATTTTGATTTCTTACCTTTAAAATTTTTTCCTACATACATTTATAAACATCCTCCTACATTAAAAAATGTTACTGTTCTACACTACGTTGTTAATCTGCAGAGGAAATTTTATAACTTAGTGATTCTATTATTCACTTATGAATAATATATAAGAAAATATATATTGCCTTAGTATTCACTAATATCAGCTTATCATGACATCAATGTGCAATTCTGAAATAAACTTGTAATATGTAAAATAATCAATTTGTTAAATGCTTATCCATTTTTATATCTCACTTTTCACATAAAACAGTTTAGCAAACTTGAAAAAAACATCTATTGTATTTTAATCACTATCATTTTTAACTCAGGTACTTGGTGCGAGGACATATTTTCTCTCTTACCCATGGGCATCCATCCTTTCTCCATTTGAGACATTTTCAACACACTAGAATATTTCACTTTTTGCCTAAGCTCTTAAACCTTTGTTGGTATATTATTTCACAGAACAATTATAATTTGTTATATTCCATTACACATGTAAAATGTGATACACACACTCTTGATTTCTGTGGGAATTGGTCTTACATCCATTAATATTGGTGCAATCTCTCATTACAATGTTATTTTTATGGAGTCTATTAAAGTATCCATCTAAAAGTTACTGAAAAGTGTGAATTTAACTCTCAATCATTCATTTTTCTTTTTCTTTTCTTTTTTCTTTCTTTTTTTTTTTTTTTCTTTTTGAGATGAGGTTTCTCTCTGTAGCTCAGACAGGCCTTGAACTCAGTATGTAATTCAGGGTGGATTTGAAATCAAAGCAGTCTTCCTGCCTCCCCTTCCCAGGATTGCAAGTGGTTAGTCAGTGTGCTGAAGTCACTTCTGCTTTTGAAAGCATCCTTCCACTTCCCAGTATCAGCATGAAGCATGGTAACTGTTGCAGACCGCCTCCCCTCTTCATCAATGCACAAAAGGCCTTTACTCGTCTCTACACAGATCATTTAAAAATCATTAATTCTCAGAAAACTATCTTTGTGTCTCTGTTGCAATTCCTATGATTTCCCTCCAGTATTAATGTGTTGTGTGCTAGTATGTGACTGACTAACTTGATTATACTGACTTTTGGTATTTTTGAGTGGTGGCTTGTTACCATTTTGTTTATCAAATATATTTGGAATATATGGCTGGGTGATAGTTTGCTCTACCTATACAATTCTGTTGAGTAGTTTTTATTGGATGGGATAATTTTTTTTACTAGATGGGATGGGAATTTTTATAGATGTATTCATTTATCTAGAAACTCTTGAAGCCCTGCCTCCATTTTATTTTGAGACAGTATCTCATTTAGCCTAGAGTGACTGAACTTGTCATACTGCTAAGGCTGGCTCTGAACTCCTGATAGTCCTGTTTCTACCTCAGGAGTTGGGTTACAGCTAAGCACCACCACGCTTGGCTTAAGTTACCTTTGACTAATTGCATTTTAAACATTTAGTTTTCATTCTGGAATTGACTATCATAAAGTTATTAAGAATCATGCTTTTCTTTTTTTTTTTTTTCACCTTAATTTCAGGGATTTAGAAACTTAATCCTTTCATTATTACATTATTTCAACAAATGAGTCCCAATACCTGCATTTTATGTATGTTTCATCACTTCAAATAACTTTAAGGTTTCAAAGTGTCAGCAAGACACATAGCATTTTCATTTCTAAAATCAACTTAATAATTATTTTTTAGCATGAGTATTTCCAAGGAGGCCCAAGCAGAACTAGAAATTTTTTGAAGATTGGAAAAACAAACTAAACTCCAAGGCCTTTCCGTTTTATGTGTAACCTTTTTTTGAATTAAGGACATCATGTTAATAATTTCATAAGTAATATTAAAAACAAGGTGAACCTTCACCGGCACAGTAAACTTCTTTAGAAGTATTAAAGATAACCAGACGGCTGACACTTCAACTGTTTTCAGCATTAATGGTAAGAAATACTTTCGCCTTGTGTTTAAGCACATAGATACATGCTCATCATTTAAGACACTTTTAAAGTAAATAAAAGTTGACAACTCAGGTTCAGGGGGCAGTTTGCTTGCAGGGGAAGTTTGCCTGAATCCTTACTTCAGCATGCTATTTTTGTATCAAAAAAACTCCTAATATAATTAAATCTAGCATATAGCTATAAACTATTTGATGTCTTTTCTACCCATAGATATTAACTATAGAACATACTTAGGTCTTTATCTCACTGTAGAAAACTCTTAGGACTAACTATCATAAATCGAAATCTACAAAATAGGATTGTTGTTTTCATCAGCTAATTTAAGTATTAATTTATAGTAGATTCTTATATAGATTTAAGTAATGGAAATTTAGGAAAATTTGGTGAGAATTTTCAGGCTTTCTCTTGTTAAACTTGTCTTATTACTTTAATAGAGGCCCTTTTTTTCTTTTTAAACATTTTCTCAACAAATAGGACCATTGATCTTCAGTGTACAATGGCATTTAGTTAAAACTTGTGCTCATGGAAGAGAAGGCATGAATGGTATATATTACATGTCTGAAGGCTATCTGAAGTGTCCTAGTAAGACTTTACTACCCTGGTCCCATCGCCATGACTAGTTTGTATTCATCTATTTCCAACTTGGAACTATTTAATGAATTCTAAGCTGGGTAAAAAATGGTGACTTTGATCAGAACTAAGTAGTTTTATGAACAATTTCTAGAAAGTGCTCAAACTCTAGATTAAAACCAACGAAAACCCTAAAGGAATGGGATCATATAGGACAGTGATCCTGTATGAAGGCAGAAGCATTTTCTGCCATGTATCATTTATTTGTCCTAAAAGCTTGATGATGGTGTATATATTTAAAACAATAAGCTCTATTCAAGTTAACCTACCACAATGCATTTTTAATAGGTCTGGGTTATATTTATTGTATTCCCTTCTTACCTCATATGGAAAAGGGAAGATTATGTATTTTTTTCCTCACTGGATACTGGAGACAGCTAAATTTGAAGCATTAGATTAAGCAACAAAAGCTAGAGAGTTCCTCTATGGATTCTAATATACCTCCCATTCAAGTACCAAAATTCAAGAGTGGTTAAACATTTATTTTGTTATGCCAATACCTGGGAAATTTGCTATTAAAAAAATGAGCCAAATATATATTTTTTTAAATTTTATTATTACTGTTTAGCAATGGGAAAATGCAATTTATTTACATCAGCAGCCATATGGGCAGGGGAACACACATTAATTAGCTATTTGTATAGGATGGATTACTTATTAAAAAATAAGAATCTCCAAAACAAAGGACAGTGGTAAATTTCACACTACCCTCCCCCAATGATCCCAGCATGCGATAATGCCAGGCAGTGGCCCCTGGGCATGCGGTGGTGGGAACTAATTTACGGAAGAAAAAACCACAAACCACAGAAATGTTAAAGAACCCCTTTCCCCCATACACACACACTCAGATACATAGTAGGATTACAGAGTGGTCAATACAATTAATCGAAGAGGAAGGATAGGATTCTGCTGTTACAGGAAAAGCAGGGAAGGGAGAGTTCCTAACCACTGTCAACTATATGGTGGAGAACATTAGCTCCCCAAAAAGTAGTTGTTCCCCAGGGCAATAATAGCTGAACTGAGCCCACCTTCTATCTACACAGGGTGGGGAGCTATGGCCCTAATGGAAATGATGGAGACAGGAAAAACAAAAACAAAAAAGCGAAGTCATAATAGCAAACCATTACCCCACACTACCACCCACTTCTTATGTTCTATCCAGAACAGACAAGAAAGGAAATATTCAAGTCACATTTGAGCTTCCTATCTGAAGGCAAGAGTGAGCGGGCCATGGCCATTCTCCTGTCATCGTGTTTCCAAGTACTTTAATAGACAGGAGCCTTAAGACTGCTTTTTCTTGAATTTACTGAGGATGCTGAAAGAACTCATGGAGCAAGCTATCTTTTAAAAGTATTTTTAGTTCCTGGCCAAGGGTTCATTGTTTTCCAAGTTCTCAAAATTCTTGGACTGAGGATCCATCAAACTGTAACTAGGCCCCAACCCTGAGCTGGAAAACTCTGAGAAGGCAATGGATAGTCTCAAGGCCCAAGCACTATAGTTTCCTTAACTCTTGAGTACAGTAACCCAAATTAGTCCATACAGTTCAAACAGAACCTGGGAAAAGGGAGATACGTACACAATAGGGTTAGGAAAGTGGAGCAGAACTAACTCCATCCTTGTGTATACCAGCATTCATGGTTCTGCTGTAAGTCCTAAGAGGCGATATCCAAGTAGCAATGGGAAAAAAGATCTCATGACAAAGCAGGGGGATATACTAGCAAGGCAGTCCTATAAAAGAGAAATGTTTAGGCATGACACTGCCTTGTAAACACACACAAAAGAAATTGTTATTTTCCCATCCCAATCCAGAGGGAGCCATGAGAAGATTCTCCTCTGAGTCTTCCATAAAAACAGGTAAAACAAAACCAACAACATAAAAACTTAAAAACTTAAGAGAACAACAATAAACCAAAAAAAAATTAAGGCAAACAAAAGGAAAAAGGAAACTTGTGTAGGCTTCAGAGGCAGGAACACTGGAAGATGAACTGAAATTGGTCAGGATAAAAGCTAGAGTGCAGGCAAGCAGCACCTGGAATTATGAGCTGCACCAGATAGGCAGTGGAGCAGTGACAGGACCATGGCCAAGCCGGACAGATGAGGCTGGACCCTTTACTGGGGCACAGAATGAGGTAAGAAAACATTTCAAATAAAGCAGCACCGTTCTATTCTGCTCACCTCAGGACTCCCACCCTCCTACCCTCCAAAACCCTCACTGAAGGGCTAAATCAGAGGACAGTTTCGATCCGCCAGTCACTTCCCATCCACTTCTATCCCAGCCTCCAAAGTCAGGGAATTTTGGAGGTCTTTTCCTAACTTTCAACAACAAAGATAGCCACTGCTGCCAACAAGGTCCAGTGGACCCAGTGAAGTACTGTCATTTGTGAGGGCAGAGAAGGTGGCGACAGTCTGAATTCACCATAGCAGGGATCTGACTGCCCAACTTAAGGAAGAGGAGATTCTACAACCATACCAGGGAAGCAAGGCCTGTTTCAGGGCTCTTAGCATTGAACTCATTCACATTACTGAGGGCAGATGGAAAAAGTTCCCTCCTGCTTGGCCACCGTGCTCTTCTGTAGTTCAGTGGTGCCTGTGGAGGACAGTGACCTGTCATAATGATGGAGACAGACCCACAGACTGGTTACATCACCAGTAACTCAAAAGTAGGAAAAGCCTGTCCCACCAAACTTAGGTCCACACTAATTCACGACACGAATCTTCCAGGTGGAGATGGTGATGCAGTTGCGGAGGTCTCCTTCATCCTCACAGCATCAAAACACAATCTTCAACTGTTTGCAAACCACCTTGTCCTTTGCCAAACCTTTGCCGCTGAGTGGGATGGAAAGACATGGCTTTTGATGAGCCAAAGGCGAGGCCTTGTCCCCACATCAGCTGAAATCACTGAAAATGCTGGACCTTTGGAAAATAGGCGATTCTGAACTTCTTGTAGATAAGGTCCAGGGCTTCCTACCAAATTCAAACGGGAATTAATATTGTTTTAGTATCCAAGTTCATACCTGACTTTCATTTGTATCAAAGAGGCCCAACTGGAGGTTTAGGAATCAGAGGAGCAGTCCACCGAAGCTGACTGATTATGGCCTGACCATCACCAGCATCCAAACTTTGCAGGAAGCCCTTGACATCAAGCAGATGCAAAATCTGACAAACAGAAGCATTTTCTACGCTGGGTACACAGCTGCTCACCTGTGTACTGAGGGCAGTACAGGGATCCTGTACATCCAGGTGTATGTATAGAGCTCAAAATACAGCACGATGCCTCTGGACATTGTCCCGCTCAGGATTTCAGAGCTGGCACTGGGTACCCTTTCAAATGGATCCAAATTCCTAAACTCTCTTCTTTGGGGATTTTTTTGTTTTGATTTTCTTTTTTTAAATGCTTAAGATCTTTAAGGGGTAACTGGGACTTTAATCTGCTTTTTTTTTTTTCTTTTCTTTTTTTTTTCTCCCCCTCCAACTTAGCTTACTCCTCCAAGCCACGGGACCAGTCTACATGATTGTCCTGGCCACTGTCGCCCTCTCTCACGGTTGTGACTACTGGAATTCTGGAGGTGAACGCTGCAGCTCCGTCTGGGGCCCGTTCCCAGGTTCCCCCGGCAGGGAGCAAAGCGGGAGGCGGCATGCTCCTTTGTCTTCCACTGGCTGGATGCCAAAATCCTTCACGCTCCCGGTGTCCGCGAACTCCAGGTAGAAGTAGCCACACTTGACCGCCCGGTGCACCTCAAAGCAGAAGCCCAGGCAGGAATCCTCTATCAGGTCTACATAGATCTCCTGGGCGATGGCCTCCAGCTTGTTAGTATCCAAGTTGGCCAACGAGATCTCCTCCATCTTAACGGGTGGGGGGAAGCGCTGGTTTTCTTTCTTTCTTTCTTTTTTTTTCTTTTACTCACGGGCGGACAGCCACGCGTCGGGCTCCGCGGGCCGCGCTAGGCCTGCAGGCCTCTCCCCGGGCCGCGTCCCTCCCTCCTCCTCGGGCTCGGCGACAGCGGCGGGCGTCCGCGGCGGCGACAGCAGCAACGGCTGCTCCGGAGCCCCCGACGCTCGCCCGGCTCCGACGACAGCCACGTTCGTGGGGTGCGGTGGGGTGGGGTTGGGGATTCTGAGCTGCGTCCCCGGGGTCCGACTCACCGCTCAACCGTCCCAACGCCTGCTCACCCAGCCCGGTCTCGGCCGCTTCCGCTCGCGGACGGTCTGGGCCCGCCCCCCCACTTCCGCCCGGCCGTGCGCCTGCGCACTGGCTCCCCCCCCCCCGCCCATCCCCACCCCCGCAGCCAGTGCGGAGGCCGGAGCAGCCGCAGCGGCAGCAGCAGCAGCAGCGGCAGCAGCAGCAGCAGCAGCAGCAGCAGAAGCCGCAGCTGGCCGCGAGCAGGGGTGGGGGATGGGTAGGGGAGAGCCGGTGGGGAGGACTAAACCTCCTCCGGGTTCGTGAAACGAGATCAGAGCGGCTGTGTTCTCTCTCATAGCTCTTTGCACATTCGCGAAGGACCTCACCTGTGTTTAATCGATTTCTAATCATTATGGCTCGCCCTGCTGTGGAGTCAATCGAATGATTTTAGGCATAGGTTTTTTTTTTTTTTTTTTTTCCCACGGACGACTGAAAATTTGACCCACAGGACTGACTTACAATTATTTACGGTACTGCCTCAGTTGTCATTTAAATCCACTAGATGGTGCAAGGGAACAAATTACCGTATAGTTTATGTTTGAGTCTTTCTTTGAATGGAAAAAAAAAAGCTAGAATCTTGACACTAAACGCGTAATTCAAATATATTGATCAAACAAACCTAAGGCATTTATCTCACTTATAAGACCATTAAGTCAGCGTGACTGTAAAGAAATGATTACATACGTCTCTAAAATCGCTAGATGATAAAAACGATATGTGCATTGTTTGGAAGACGCAGACAGCGGAAGCTTTTCCTGACGTTCCTTGGCTTTCATTGTGAGAACTGGAGTCGGCCCACCCGATTCCCTGCAGCCAGCTCTTACAACTTTTTCTCGTTTGACTAAATCAAGTCCTTATTCTGTGGTTAAGGTCACTAATAAAATACACTACTAACCACAGTGCATCAGAAAATGTCAACTCTTCCTAATCGGGTTAGCTGTGAATTCAAATATAAGAAAGCCACTGTATTATTTCCCCCTCTTTTTTCGTTCATTTTTTGATTCTCCTCCCCAACTGCTTTACCCTTGTAAGTTATCAAAGGAGAACTGTGGCTAAAGAAAAAATTAAATGCTCATTTATAGCTTTCTTATTCAAGGTTTCCATATTACAGCAAAACATCACAACACTCTTAGTTTCAACATTAATTGATATATACGTTTTCATGAGTACAGAATTATCTTACACTCATCGGCTTATGAGTGGAAATCATTTGTAAACAGTTTGATTTTCTGATTACATATTGAATCATTGTAGAAATCACAAATTGGCAGATACCGATCATTTTGAAAGCTTAGGAAAACTTAATTTTTGTGTGCCCACAGGTCTTTTTTTTATAATTTAAGGCAGAACTTTTTCTTTAAAAAAAGTTGAGTTTTGTTTGATTTATATATTCTAGATTAAAAAATAAACATTTTGATGCAGTGTGGAATCGTCTAGTAGCCATACAATACCATATAATATAATGATTAAAAGCTCATGTTCAGGCACCAGACTGCCTCCTACAGTAAATGCCTATGTAAATCTCGGGTTTGAATTTGTTTTTGCTAATTTTTTTTAATTTCAGTAATAGATGCCATCACATAGTTTTGTCGTGAGACACATGGCAATACGTATGAGTTTTCACACGGTGCCTGGCATCATATCTTAGTGGTGTAAACTGTTATAGGCCTAGTTAGATGAGAAAAATATGGTTATGACTTTAGGCATTTTTGCAGTTCTTTCCTCTTAGTCTTTATTCAAACTTAATCCAAAACAAGGCTTTCCAGAGTATATCTATGAATCACTGAGACCTGTGTGAAATTTTGACTTCCTTTCTTTGTTTTCTGCAGGTCTTGGGTTGGGTCTGAATATCTTTCTTTCTGTATTTCTAGCATACTTTGATATAAGCTAGTGATGACACATTCAGTGTCAAGCAAAAATTCTTACTAAAAGACAAATGTCCTTTGTTGTCATCGATGTGTCTTTTTTTTTTTTTCTTGCCTGGTCATCTAAAGAAACTTTGTTCACTTAATTTTAACCAAAAAATATGAGATTATTTTTCAAAACCTTGTACTATGTGAGTTGGAAACCGTCTTCTATTTAGCTAATAAATTCAATAAAAAAAGTTTCAAAATATATGTGCTTTTGTGTTCACAGAAAGTCAAATAATAAGATCGCAACCATTTTAAAATCCTGTCAATGTTTTATTCGATTTACCCTTACTAAATAAACACTAGCGTATTGAAAATTTGTAGTATTACTGTAATTTTGTCTTACATTCTATTTGTATCACTAGCTAAATTTCCTTAAATAGTGTGGAAATATACTGGATATTTCATTTTAAATCAACATTATCAGAAAAATAAGTGAGAAATAATTTATTATTTCTCTTAATTGAGAGTCAAAGGTGCTAAATTTATCAATATTTAATTCATTATCTAAGTACAATGCAAATAATATGGAATACTACTTCGTAAATGACCTTAAAGGATATGCATTAAAATATGTAGTGCACCAAAAGGATACAATAAAATTCCAACCATCTTTGATTATTTTTCCCCATTAAACAAAGTGTACAATGGGATGAGCCACTCTTTCAAAGAGGAAAACACTTGAATTCTTATCTAAACATATTTTTTTAATGGCTATAAACTATATATTTGCTGTGGAACAATCTTTTTGTACACTGTGAAGATATGTCTTTGCCCAGGCACCTTCTAACTGGTTTAATAAAGAGCTAAATGACCAATAGCTAAGCAAGAGGTATAAGTGGGATTTCTAGGCACAGAGAGGACTCTGGAAGGAAGGGAGGCAGGGGAGGCCAGCCAGACAGGGAAAGGAAACAGGATGGGTGAGAGGTAATGCCACATGATAGAACCCAATTAATATAAATGGGTTAATTTAAGTTGTGAGAGCTAGTTAGAAACAAGCCTAAGCTATAGGCTGAGCTTTCATAATTAATAAGTCTCCATGTCATTATTTGGGGACAGGCTGGTGGGACAGAAAAAGACTCATTACATATATGTTTATACTTACCTGGCAGGGGAGATACCATGATCAAGAAGGCATTTTCCTAGGGACAACTCATTGTTGGACTTGGAATGTGTTGACATCTTTGGCTTTTTCAAATGTGAGGACCTTGACTGCATAATTAGTGGTGGTGAGAACTTTGTTTGTGTTCTCTGTAAAACAAACAAGAGGACACATACATTGTCATTTTTGTGTTCCCAGGAAATAAAAAAATGAGGTAGCAGAATGCATCTAGATGGATCTAGAAGTCAATAACCCAACTGAGAATCAGGTTTCTACAGTGATTTTCTTGGGAATATGTTTGTATGTACAGGCAAATTCTTTAAAAATATTTTTAAGAAGATTGTGGCACTTCTTCAGTATTTCATGTTCTTAAATAAAAGCCAAATAATTTTTGATAGCTTTTCTTCACATGGAAATTCAAGGTGAAATAAATTCAATTTTAGTCTAATATGGTATTATGGACTGAAGGCAAAATATATCCCATATGCTCATGTTTTTGAACAAAAGGTCCCTAGGAACACTAGGTTGAGAGCTGTTTGGAAAGGTTGTGGAACCTGTAAGAGGTGACCCCTTACTGATGGAAGTGTGTCAGTAGTAGGTAGGCTTTATAGGCAGCTCCCACTTCCTGAACACTTGCTACACCCTAACTGAATGCAGTAGAACCAGTTGGCCTCATGCCTTGACTGTCATGAAGGACTGTATCCTGGAACTGTAAACTAACAGTTCCTTCCGTTGCTTTTATCAGTTTTTTTTTGTTGTTGTTTGTTCATTTGTACTACAATAGGAACTGTAATCAATACATACTGACAGTATCAAATGTTTTAAAGATTCTAATTTGTTCAATTGAATCCTGTGGTAAAATTATTTTACTAGGTCAGGTTGCTACAGTAATGGTGCCTGAAAGTGAAGGAGAGCTCATCTATTCAGCAGCTTTACAAGGCTAACAAGCAGGGCTCCCTTTAGACATAAAAACGCTCTGTAACGTCTATTAAATCAATTTCTAAGTGACAGTATATTGATTCCCCTTTCTTCCCTGATAAGCCATGTCCTTTAATAGATCTTGATCTTGCTAACTGTAGTTTTGCTGAACACAGTAGTGTTTGGAAACATAACCCTAGAGATTTGTGAGGAGTTTTTATCATGACCCCAAAACTATGGTGCAAGGCCAGTCTAGATTAGTAAAACATGTCTATTAATTTCTAGTACTCCTCAGAGTAGACAATATGGTGTGAGATATTGGAACAGAAGACTCTATGAAAAAAGACTCATGGTTTGAGTTTTACACTCATCTAATAGAAAAAGCAGTAAATAAAAACAATACTTTCATGTTGGATAAGGAAACTAAAGCCAGAGATATCAAGAGATATCTGTGAGTGACGAAGTTAGGACCAACTGGCAAATCTGCTGACTCATCTAATTTTTTTTTCCTTGTCTGGATAGTTTTCCCACTGTCTGGTTTTTTGTTTTTTGTTTTTTGTTTTTAATTTGCCAAAAGTTTAGTAAAGGCTAAATGTATTGAAAAAATAGAATCAGCATTAATTTATAAGACATTAATCATATTATCAGTATGAAATGTACTGGTGAATGAAAACTATATGGAATTTATGAACTCTGTATAATGTTATATTTATTTCGTTATTATAGAAATAAATCGCAATATTTTTCAAATTAGCAAATTATCCATCCAAATGAGAATCACACACTTAATTTAGAAATGCATCAGATGTTAATTTAGATTTTTTTTTTTTTTGAGATACAATGTTGTTCTGTACCCCAGGCTGTCTTCAAACTTCTGATCCTCCTGCTTAATCCTTATAAATGTTAGGATTATAGTGGTGTACCACCAACCATCCCAGCATCATTTTTACATCTTTTAACCAAGTTGAGTTTTTATTATTTGATATAAAATCAAGGTTATTTCTATCCTCTTTCCACAGTGCTTTGCCTTTATGTTACAAAGACAGATTGATGTAATTAATTGAACATACATTGTTCTAATTTGACTAA